CGCACGCTGACAAACCGCAGTAACCCTAACCCTCATCCGCAGTTCAATCTCGCGTTTATTCTATTTCTATTTCTATTGTATCCTTCTATCGATGCTACGCATAATAATAATAATAATAATCGCTACCCCGCCACATAATTGTCCAACAAGGGGCAGCATTCCCATTCTGTACAAGTAGCGAGGAGGCGTTGTTGGTCGTTCATCGGTTACAGCGATTTTAAATTCAATTCCCTAACTTATGGCAGCAAGTTATAAAATTAGGGCTGTTAGTAATAATTAGTACAGTAATAAACAACTTGTAGTCTTGGAAAAAGTGATATTATGTGAAACCCTATAGTAGTAATAGACAATTAATATTGGTTACGCACAGTTCTTACAACTGTCGAACGCCACATATTTCCTTTTATTACAATACAAAGATAAGCCAGTTGACAAGAAGCTTTTATTATCAAAAGTCGAAATATTCGGTCTGTTAGTGAAAAGCACTGAAAAAAATGCTCACCGGTTGAAGCTGATGTTCTGTTCGTACTTAGTACTACACATACGAAGTGAAACCAATTTAGCGGAGTTTGAATTGACAACGCCGTAACGAAGTTGCACAGGATAATATTAATATAACCACAACAATATTTTGATATAATGGAACAGATTAATTGGTAGTTATCTTTAGCAGCAGTAAAAGAGAGAATGCCAAACTCGATGTAATATGGCGATTTCCAAGTTCCATCACTATAGAAACTTTTCTCCTTGAACTGTCTTAAACTTTTACACAAACGGTTCATGTCTCATTTAATGATCGAATACGTGCTTTTGTTTAACGCTAATCAACGTAAAAGCAACAAACAACTTTATATCTCCCACATAAATAATTAGAGTACGTATATTATATAGTAATTTAACAATCGTCTCTCTTATTTCTCGTTATAGTTATAGTCTCCGTTTTAGATGATATTAATATAAACAACCCCACCTTTTTTAGCGTAATGGTTTGGCAATTTATTGCTAAAAAGTTAATAGCCTGTATGTCCTCGATCAAATCCTTTCCATTATAACAATTAATATCTTCTAAGAATAAATGGAAATCTTATGAACGATATAGATTTGCGTAGTATAAGTAGATGATATTCCTGTGATTATCTTCGTGTAACATGATCTATAAAGAATTTCATTGTTTCCACCTCGAGAACTGTTTCAAGCAGTTTAATTCGTAGGAGTAAAGTTAAAGAAATAGGCAAGTTATGCGAGCATAGTGAATCGAAGAAAAAGAGGAATGAGAAGATATTATAATAATTAGTAATTGCCGTAAAATTTTTATAGTTACAAGAATGTCACGTATGCACTATGCTGTCGTTTATGCGAAACCATGAACAGATTCTGAGAACAAATGAGCTTTAATTAAATTAGTAACATATCGGTATTTATTTTCTCACAAACATAATTATTGCAATAGTTTTCGAAGACAAAACTGTGGTCGTTTTTAAATTGCAGCAAACAGCGTGTTATTTGTCTTGCCCTCGAAGTTATTCAGAAGTCATCCAAACATCATGCTACTAAAGGCTTTCATTATCTCGAATTTGTGAGGTAGCAACTTGATGTACTGCGTACATAAATAGATTTGGTTCCAATTAATAGTACTCGCTTGAAAAGCATTATTCGGCTATGGGCAATCATCAAATAATGTTATAGTAAAGCGGCTGGTTTAAACCATCAACATGGAAAAATGTAGTACGGAAACCGATACTGATCGAATCAAACATATGATCGGTGATTAAAAAAAAGGCGTGAAGCCAAAAGGTTAATTTAAATTTAAGCAACACTCATAAAAATATCAGGTCAACAATTTAAGTTAAATCATTGCCAAACTTTTAATTTCTGGGTAAGTATCATTGCAAATTAGTTTAATTCGGGATGGTTAGCAACTTAATAAACAAAAAATGAAATGCACTTTTTGAATTAAGATAAGCCATTATAAATGGGTCCTACTTAAACGACCATTAGTCCACACCAGGCGACAAAAAATAAGTATGCGTTATATTGCCTGGATGATCAAAGTCCTCTTTTAAAAATAGTGAAGCGTTTAGTCCATACTGTATAAGCAAAACACATTTGGACCAGAAACCTGACTGCGTTCTAATGCCAAATTTTGCTTCTTATTGCAAAAATACCCCCACTGCGAGTAGTACGTTTACTAATCGAAGTTTTGGAACAATATGCTACTCATTTTTTATCGACACAGAAACTCGTGCAATACAAAATTTGAATTACACGATGCCTTTATAATAACAATAATACAGAAAAACCGTTTTTTGATGTATTATATTGCAAACTATATGTTTCCAAACTATATTGAATTTTGTGATATAACACTGGAAGTAAAGACTGAACAAAATTAAACGTGCTAATTTCACCCCCCCCTAAAAAGAAGACAAGGAAATCAATCACACAAACCAGATTTGGTTAAAGGGCTTTCCACTCGATACATAAAAATGGTTGTAATCTTGTAAAAGACACTCTATTCCATTAACTCGATAATGTGTCATCAGACATAAAGAAAATCCGGATAATTCTCATAACAAAGCTTAAGTGTTTTGATGGAGAGAATGATTGCACTTGAGGATTGATAAAATTACATTGTCATTCCTTGCGTCATCCAACACAAATATCTACAGTTCGTTGTTTTTATTAAGCATATCACGTTGACCGTATACATATGCATGTACCCGTGGTATACTATACGCAGGGTGTATGTTATGTATGTGCATGTGATAGTTACAGATCGCTATGTGATTGTAACATATCAATAGTAGGCATTACTACCATTTCTCTGGAGGGAAGATTCCCCGAGCGCCATTACAGTCCCACAATTTCGGCACTTGTACATCTCGGACCCTCCTATTTTTTGAACCAGCTGCAAGTTTTTGAATAGGCCTCATTTTAGATAATAATATGGACCCCCTAATTCTTCTGCTTTAACCACCAGACGTTGGCGAAATTGATAGTGGCCCCAACAGAGCATTTTACGAACGGTTTTTCGTGTTATCTTTCTTGTTTTTCGATTTACAATATTCGACGCCTCAAAAGAGGAATGATAATGGCATCAACACTCTTCTTATGAACTTCACTTTGCAGGTGTTTGATTTTTCGTCGCATCTGAAAGATTGCCTTGTCAAGTCGCAAGGCCTTTTTCTTCTTACGTTTTGAACTAGAGGCAGCCAGTTTGTCCTTTATAGAAAGAAAATTATCCATATGCTTGCATAGACGAATAATTCGTCCAATGTCGCATTGGCCAATTTTACTTACACCTTTAGTAGGAAGTACATGTGAAGGGTGTACGAACGCCAGGGTCAATGGTAAACCATGAAAATTTCCATTCACTAGTTTTGCGAATATATGTGATCTTGCAATCCGGACGTTATTCTATGAGGAACAGGCCACTTATTATTATGCCTTTTTTTTTTTGAAATGAAGCAGCCACAAATCGCGTTTGTCGTCCAGAGTGATAGTAGGCTTATGACGGTATATTGATAGGTTATGGAGATGGGTGGGGATATAAAAACGGATTTTGCGCACGAATTATTATAAGATCGAAACGACAAAGACAAACTTTGCTGATTCGTATATTTTGGTTAATTATCTTGTCCCTAAACTTAGTTAAATAAAATCAATAAATAAGTAAGTAAATCAAAATCATACCTAGCAGTTAATGATTTTTGAAGTCTCTTGTAAAGCTTAAGCTTATTACTATTGAAGATAATACTATTGAAGATAATATTATTGAAGATAATAATAGGTTGAGATTTTATCCAAACCCGTCGTGATGGGACCAATATGCGAATCTTTGTATAGAAACAGCATTATAGCATATCTCGACAAGCGCATCCACCGTTTCAATAGCTGCTGTTGAAGGTGATTTTGATATACTTTGTGTTTGTCTGGGGTTCTCGTCGGGCGACTATTCTTCCTTGCTTGATTGCAAGGATATCTGGAGGTCGCTTCGTTGACGAAAACCATGAGTTTTGTAGTATGGGGAGTGGATGAGGTCGCGGCAGAGTCGGTCACACAATTTCTGAGACCATGCCGCGACTTTTCCGTTCCAACAAGGTCTTAAGTTTGTAGGTTGGGGAGCTGAGGATTGAACCCTTTTTTTGGTGGATGGTGTTAGCATTGAGGAGAGAGTTTATGTGTTTACGATTTTGATTTTCAAATAAGCAAAATATTGCAATGGTTAAAGAATGTCTTTAAATATGTTTATGGTTGTCGGTATTTGAATGGCGGAACCGAAAACGCGCATAAAACCTGCAATCTTATATGGAGCCTACGCGCATAAAACATACAATCTCATATGGAGCCTACTCGCATGAAACATGCAATGCCTGTGAATGAAGCTATTGTCTACGAAAACGGTTCTGAAGCTTTGACTACGAGCATCGGCAATACCCAAGGCAAATCCGTCCGATTGAGGAATGATTACGCCGACCATAAAGGCTCCAAGGATACAGTGCGCGAAAAAGTTTTTGGAATAAAATGCATGAACTTTATACCCATCAACATTGATGTCGCCATATCTTGTGTATTTGCGCTTTCCCATAGTAAACAGCGAGAAATATCATATAGTCGGGTTAAGACTCTCTAGTCGGCCAACCGTATGGCTATGCTAGCCGGCATAAATCATTTATATTATCTTGTGACGGATACTTTGTTCGTTATTATCATAGCAACCATTAGTATGGCCCGCAATACTAATGGTCAATGTTCAAGATCTATTTATATCATTGTTATTAATATATATACATAAAAAAACCAAAATAGCCATGCATACTTTTACGATATAACTATATGAATTAAAAAAATGAATTCCAACGAGACCAAGGAAGTATTTACACAAATGAGCTATTTAAGAAATTTAAACCCCAATCAGGCAATCAGAGAATGAATACCAACTATGTGTATGCTAATACATACCAACAGATTCTATTACATGCTCGACCCTAGAAATACATTCATTTGGTGCTCTTTGTTCTATTCATTCCCCCACCCGTCTTTGTTTTACTTCTTAGACTACCAAAAGATTTCTCATTGTTCTTGGGTTGCGCTAATGTCGCAGATTTGGAAGAAATTAAATTTTTATCAATAGCGTTCGTTTTCGTAGATAGCTTGTCTTGCACCATTTTGACTAATATGTCAGAATACTTTTCCAGAAGCACCTGTGCCGAGTCGTCTGAGATCAAGTCTGCGAGCGCTGATTTAGATTGTGAAGAAGCCGCGGGACTAAGTGGTGCCAATAAATTGGTGGATTCGGGTGATTTGCATTCAATTCTATTACTATGGTCACGTAAAGTCGTCGAAGCAGTTGCATATGAATTGCTCGAGTCTGCGTCACACTCTTCGTCATCACCCTCCACATCTGCATCAACATGTTCAGTCACACGTTTTCCTGCTACGAAATCAGCATCGGTTTCGTTTTTTTGTGTTGACGCGCTTTCTTTGGTCATGCCGAGACTCTCCCTTATATCGTCCATCATCTCCACTAGACTGACAGATATAAGTGTTTGCACACTCTCATTCTTTGTGTTCCCAGCAGCAAGAGATGACGAAACTTTTTTATAAGCACTAAGTGTTCGTTCAAGAAGTACTGACATATTGTAGACATCGTCAGCGATAGCGTCTTCACTTAATTCAGTATCCTCAAATGAAGAAGGTACGTCGTTTACGAAAATCAATGTTGACGTTAACTCCTTTCCTAAATCATATTGAATGCAAACAGTACAAATGAGTAAAAAAAAGGGATCAGATCAATAACATAATTGAATAATATTTATTCTCACCATTGACAGTAATACCCAAATCTTTAGCTAGTTTTTCAACATTCTCCTCGACAACTTCTGTACTTGGTGTCTCAGAGGCGCCGATAATTACGGTATCGTGTTCGTCTGTAGATACAGGCTTTTCCTCTTCTGACTTTACCGTTTGACTGATTGTATCGTCATTCTTTATCTTTGTTCTCTTTTCCTTCTCAGCAAGGACAGAGTTATTGGATCTAGCTATAAAACCGTTCTGCTTATCAAGCAACTTATGCTCCTGAGAGTTTACTGAATAATCATCATCTGCTTCCTTGACGGTTGCAGATTCAGAGAGCGCGGGTGAAGAAACAGATGAAGAAACAGGTGAAGTCTGCTCTTGCCCAGACTTATCTGGCTCGTTACGACTGTCTGTTACCTCTGTTAGGCGTCCCTCTAAAGCTTCCATAGTTTTTTCAAAACTGCTCTTGTCATCACTCTTTTTATCCTCTTCATCCTCTTCTATTGCAAGGGCTTTATCTTCACCCGAGTTAATCATTTTCATAAATGCTTCGGTTAGACTCGTACGACCACTAGAATCTCGCGATTGCCCACCAGACAAAAACTTCAACGTATAACTTTCTCGTCTCTTCGCTTTAGAATCAGTTGCACGGTCATGTGTATCATTCTCATCATTGTTATTTTCACTGAAACTAGCCTTTATCGGAGTTTGCAAGTATATCTCTAGTTGCTTGGCATGATCGTCACTTTCAACATCCTCTTCCTCTTCTTCCTCCCCCTCTTCCTCTTCGAGTTCGTCGCTAAGAACGTCGTCCAAACATGTCTCGGTTTCCTTATCGCTTCCGCAAGACTTCGGACGATCATCAGCTAGATCGATCTTCGTCACAGTTTCCACAAAACTTTCTCGACGACGCCTTATGCCCGGTCCATTAATGTACACATCATCCGCTTCTTCCGGCTGTGTTAAGAAAATAGTTTCCGCATCTTCGAATGCCGAATCATCAACAATTGTCTCTTCGATACCGGAAGTCTCATCGTCGTCATCTTCACCATTATCCTCCCCCTCCGTACTGAGCAATGTGTTAATGGACATAGGCGAGGTGGAGAGTACTGCCGCACGAGCTGTTGGAGATGGCGGAGACGTAGACAACAATGATTTTGGTGAGCCTGCTGTGAGATTGCTTTTTGATTTTTTGGACGAAACTCTAACTCCGGCAGTGTCTTCGACAATTGAATTTATTGATTCGTGCCGTAGTTTTCTCTGTGATCTGACTCGAGGTATTGTCTTCGGAACTGCAGGTAACGTCTTATCCACTTGAAGAAGGCTGTTTGTGACGGGTGGAATGGTCGTTCGCCTCTTTGGTATTGTTAACGTTGCATTTCTCTCATTACTAACAGAATCTATGCCTTCGGAGTCATCTTTTTCTCGAACGTTGTGATCCTCTTTCTCTTTGAAGGCCTTTTTTGCCCAGCTTGGTAAACCTAATTTCCATGATTCTCGTCTCGATGAAGAGCCACTTTTCGAAGATGGTGGAGAAGGCGTATTGCTAGCCGGCCGTGAAGCTGTTACGGACGCTGCAAGCGGTATTCTACTGGGAGACACTTCGGATAATGGTCTTGCCTGTTGTGTTGTATGAAGTTTAGCGTCATCGACAACATATGAACTGGGTCTTTTTGAGGAAACATCAGATTGCAAAAGTGACGAGAAAGATTTTCTCCCTCTTAATGATCCAGAACCCTTTCGAATCTGAAAAGCGGAATCGTCACAATTAGCATCGTCGTGTGCTGAAGCTTCTATTATAGACTTCGGCCTTAAGGCGGGCACAGTAGTTCTGGGGGGCGGTTGTGGCGATATGCTCTCTCGGAAAACAGGAGAGGTCCTCCCTAGTGCGCCTGCAGCCCCACTTCTTTCGAGCCATTTTTGCCTCATTTTTTCGACCCATTCGTCAGACAATCTCCACACAAAAATACAACCATCTGCAGATGTGGATACTATTCGTTCACAATCAAGCGTGAATTTAACGTCAGTAATCAACTCCGAATGGCCAAATACTTTTGATAAGATAGTGCCGTTTGCAAAATCAAATAGACGAATGCTTCTATCCGATCCGGCTGCAACAGCAAGTACACCGCTTGGATCCAAGCCGACTTTTAATAGACTTCCCTGTTCCGAGGCATTTGTTTCGTCGGGTGTATCTGGTTTGTACGATCGCACATTCTTTCCAGAATCAATCTGGTACAAATTGAGACGACGCTCGCCAGAGACTGTTGCGATATATCTGTTAGATATGTCAATGTCCATGTCGAACACTGTTGCTCGTCCTGATATATTATGGTATGTGACGTAGTAAGGAAAGTCTTCGGACTAGAATGAATTGTAAAGTTGTAGACATCAGTTAACCGTTCTACAAATATTGATTATTAAATAGACAATAATAACTTACATCTTGACGTGCTCTGAATATAATACTTTTGTCGGCCCCACAACTTATCAATCTCCCACCATCGTGAGTGAACTTGATAGCGGTGATTGATGAAGAGTGATCGTCTAGTGTCTGTATCAATCGAAAATCACTATTTATGTCAAATATGTGTAGTATTCTATCTCGACTTGCAGTTGCAATAAGATAAGGTGAATCTATTTGAATACGATAGGACCATTTTAATGTTAGCTGTTGCATTTTTTGGCTATTTATGAATAAGTTTTAAGATAAACGTGAACAAACCGCTCGATCGTCCGTCTGTAAACTCTATTGTTAATATTTCCGCTTCGTGAGCTTCTTGATACGTAATCTTTTCAAACGTATCTAGATCGTACACACTAATAGGCAAATTTCAATTAGATTCTAATTATACATAAGAGATACCAACCTTAAGAATTTGAAAGGCCAAGGCCAAGGCCAAGGCTATATATATATATCCATACCTCAAATTGCCTCCTTTATCGCCGGAAGCCACTAGTTTACCGTCTGGGCTTATTTTCAGAGTGCGAATCCCTAATTCGTTTGCGCCACCACTAACGTTTGGATCCGAATGGTCGACGTCTTCCATAACAAGAAACCATATAGTTATTAGCTGCTACGATGCGGATGTAAAGTTGTCTTAATTACTTACCTGTCTTTTCTTTTTGAACAGACATGCGAATATTTCCATCCGGATCAATGTATACAATTCGCAAGCAATCCTTACTGAAGATGTTTCGCTTGAGCGTGGTCTCGGCAGTTGGACTAGCTGCGGTATTAGAGCCCTTGTCTAAACTCCAAAATCGAATCGTATTATCTGCTGAGTAAGTGACAAATGTATCCTCGGGGTATGGTGAGGGAGATGATGAATCTCTAATGGGCATCATCTACAAACAGTACAACAACTCTGTGAGTTAGATAATTATAGGTATTTAAAAGTACATTGTTATGGATTCCGATGACTGACCTCTACTCCCCAGACATTAGCACAGTGATATAAGAAACTTCTATATTTTCCTATCTTCTTTATATCTTTAATATCCCATATGAAAAGACTTCTATCGCTATAAATACAAGTAAGCTTTCCTGCCTCTCCGTCTAGTTTGATGGCAACAGTGTCAGGATAAGTGTCATCTTTTCCACCACCGTGGTAAACAGATCCTGTCTGCATAGTCAAGTCAACGCCTAATGGATGCGTTTTAGGTAAAGTACCTAAATACTTTAAAGTGATTGGTTCAAAAAGCCTACAGATGGGTAACAAGATGTTAGCGTCTCATTAAGATGATATTAAATCCCATGACACGTGGCGCGTGGCGGAAGCGCTCTGACAGAATCACCTGACAATGCCATTGGTACATGCGCAAACGATGTATTTGTCGCTAACGTCAAGGGAAAATGCACCTTTAACCTGATCGGATGCGAAAAACAGTGTTGGTTAAAGATGCTAACAGTAATAATGATTATAGTCTTAAGTCAGAGCAATCAAATAATTAAATAACCTGTAAATCAACCCATTTGTCCATCAACCGTCCCTCGGTGAATATGCATAAACGTCCATTTGATGTAATTAGATACGTATTGTCTGATTTCTTACAGCATACTGCATCAACAAAGTTATTATCCCTTAGATCCCCCAAGATCCCTGATCGTCCATCGAGGACCTGTACAAGTGATTTTTGCGCAGACTAACGGCAACAAAGGATGAGTGAAAATATAACAACAATTCACAAACGCTGATATAATGCCACACAATAAAGTAATCTTGTTGCTGTCATTACCCACCGGTTTTTTTGACAAGAGTCCATTTGAATCGAAATACCAGAATTTAACATGTCTTAGCCCGGCCGTAACAAAAAACGATCCTGTTCGATTGAATGCTAAAGTGTGTACTTTTGTGGTAATCTTGTTGCACGCCAACTTAATTCCTTGCTTCCAATTCCATACGTTTATATAACCATCATGCTGTGATTTTCCATGAATCATATATTAGTTTCGAGTAATGAATCAGTGCAAACATTCACGAAGAGCCGCTTGTTCTACCTGAAATCCTATCGATACAATATATTTCATGTTTGGGGAGAATGAAAGTGCCAGTATGCCATATTTGTGACCTTTCAATTCGTTGACTAGTGTTTTAGATTGCACTTCCCATATCAGAATGCGTGGTTGATGACCACTCTAGAAAAAAAAGAAAAAGAGTTTGCCTCTGGCTGTGCTGTGTAACGTTTCGCTGCATATAGTGAGACAATAAATTTACCTCTCCAACTGCTAAATAAGCGCCATCTGGAGAAAACGTCAAACAAGATATTGCCTTGGCTCTGTTGCTAGCTGTATTCTTTTTAGTATTGGAGTTTAAAGCAATCGGATCCAGCACGCCCAATGAACCCAATTGATTCGCTAATGGGTCTCCGGCAATTGTATGTCGATTATTTGGTGCAAGATTGTGGGAAGGTGAAGACGATGAGGATGCATATAAGAATCCGACTTGTTTATTCTTCTTGTGATTATACAACACAACTACAGAGCCAGCTGCATATGCTATAAGATCTGCTGACGGTGCTGAAGCAAGAGCGGTTGGTTTAAATGTCGTAAGGCCAAGAATTCGTTCCAATTCAATCTGTATGGGAAAGCAAAAAATCAAGGACATATTAGAAATGGTTCAAGTCTGTTCGATTTATCAGTAAACCGTGGTATAGAGTATTGACCGAGTATCTTGCTACAAGACGAATGTTTTTTCAAATCGCGAACAGGGTCTATTTTAAGAGACGCCAGGACAGAAATTTACTACACTGAATTCGAGAAGAAGAAAAAAAGTTTTTTTCTTGTTTACTCTTGAACCGGAATGTATATACGTATCTATTTACGTTAATGTATATATCAACAGGTGGGTAAAAGAGAAATGATACCAACAGCAGGAGCACTTTGTTCTTTCTTCCTTCGCCTGAGACCACCATTCTTGGAAGAATAGGCTGCAACAGTAAGAGGTCTCGAGGCCCTCGGGGCAAACATATTATACTAGTCAGATATTAATATAAAATATATATAATAATATGAGAGTATGTGTATTAAAGTAGTAATACTGTCACTGTTTGTTTGTAGATATGTTTACTATTTTGTTAGAAGAGGACGTGCTACTAAGCGCGTAGAAAGGAATAGTCGTGAGGAGAAGGTAGAAAGGAAGGAAGGAGAGCAATGTCTATTTGTCTCTCAAAAAGCAACGAGTGGCAAAATGGGTTTGGGCGTCGGGTGAACATTGTCTGATAAAAAAACTGCAGGAATTTTAGTTGGTGTGATAATCATTATGCATGCGACTTGTCGAATTGCATGAGGGGACTGCAGTAAAGTACTCAAATAAATACTGTATAATACGTTCCAAAAATATTTAGTACATATAATAATACCATTCAACATAGTCATAATAGAGATCGTCGTTGCTACACCAAAGGCTTGTCACATAATTCTAAATTTAATTTATCACGTTGTGTTTAATTCCTAACCAGAGTTAGCCAATTAAGAGTTGGATATGGTACCAAGTTGGTTACATTTAGCGGGTATATGTACATTTTATTGAAAATTATTTTACTTGTACACATGAATGATTTTTCAGTTTTGGAAATGATTTTTTGCACGTTCTAATCTACCCACCTCGTTGTCTGTTGCCTCTTTTGCATAGTATCATGCAACAGCCTTTCCCTTAATATAAGTTATATAAACATATTTAATATTAATATTAATACAAAATATTAATCAGCTAGCTTTGTAAGCAAGGTATATTAACATACGAAGCAACAAGTATCTCTTATAATTGCGTCTTTCTATTGATTCAATACCATAACCCATGTTCAAACTCTAGCATGTCAATTGGGTTTCTACAAGTACGAAGCTCCTTGGTGGATGGCGATCAGTTATTCATCTATCAAAGAACACTATGATGCCGTAAGCTGAAATGTACTATATATACGATTGTGCAGTCGTCGATAACCACCCAGAGATGCACGATGGTTTGCTCATGTGGTTCCAATGTGCTAAGTGAAGATATGTTAGTTATTGGACATTATTACATATTTAAATACGCAATACATGAGTGGTTTACTGTCTTGCGACTCCACGTATGTGGTATTCTGGCATCGAGCATGAATTCGCCAAGCGTATTGCCATATACGATCTTCTTTCCCATTTTATTGATATGCCATTAGGGTACAATACTGCCTGGTTGGATATTCTATCCTTTAATAAAGCGATTCCATATCCAAACTTAATTTCAAGAGTACATTATAATTAAGATCTTCTTCAATCGTTCTCCCTTGCCCTGCGACATTGTATCTTTCACCTTCGTCTTATTTTTTAGTTGCAAGTTGGAGGTCTATATTCTGGATCATCACGTCTTGGCCTGTGGATTCGGTCGTTTCTTTATTACAGTCAAACCTCGATATAGTCAAGTCTCGATACAGTGAATTTCGCGCTATAGTAATAGTAAAGAATTCCTCTGATACAAAAACAGTATTATTAAAATTTCCCTCGATATAATGAAGTTATATAGTAAGTCTCGTTATTAGATATATAGTCTCTCGATATAGTGAAGATTGTACCACCTGACGGGTTTTGACCAATAATAATACAAACACGTGTTGATTAAAAGCATTAAATTTAACAGCATGAAGAACGTGTCGTTTAAAAGAGCGAGGTGTTAGCCAAGTTACAATAGCGAAGCAATTCGATATTTCCGAGGCAGTCGTTTCAAGATTATGCGTCACTTGATATAAGGGCGACAAAGAACTGGAAAGCATTCTCAGTTAGGAGAGGCTGTTGCTCTTTGGATAATAGGTGCAGTCGTTTAGTCAGTGTTATGTCTTTCTTGTCGTCTTTTTGTTTCCTTTTTGTTTCTTCGTTTTTGAATGGCTTTAATAAATTATGAAACCTTATCTGAATCAAGAGGTTACTACATAATTGAACAGTATGACACTTGTTACTTAGTACCATATAAATAACGTTTGAGTCATTTATTATTATACTGCAGTCGCAACATAGTGAATATTTCTGCCACTTATATATGAACTTTACTAAGTTTCGATATAGTAAAGAAAAATCTCCCGTCGACTTGACTATATCGAGGTTGACTGTATGTGCATTATTGATAGTCATGGGGAAATGTCCCCTGTACAGGGGTCAGTGATCGTAGTGATAGACATGCCAATCACAAATTTATATTATAATACAAGTAATTATAATAGACAGTCGGCTTAACACGGACAAAATTATTCACCGGATGGATTGACTATGGATATAGCTAAAAATAGTCAACCAATTAGCATAGCTAAGTTAGCTCCATCAAGCAATGCTCGGAGAAAAATCCCCCGGCGCCATTCAAGTCCCTATTAATCCGAAGCCCACATTCATCACACCTAACTCTTTAATTTTCTCTTCTTCCCCACGGCGACGTGACATCTGTATACTATTAAATATTGTTATATTGGCGTTAAAAGTACGAGCCAACCACAATGCAACCTCTTCATCTATCAAATTCTGAATGTGTTTTCTTAAACGAACTTGAGCCCATTGGAGGTGCGTAAAATAAGCGTGTCTAGAGAAAGACAAAGACGTATAATACGGTTGATATAATTATCACCAATATCGCCGTAGCCAACTGTGGGTGAATACCATGTGAGAAAAGTTTCAAAATCTTCTTTCTGTTTTGGGCTGGAGACTCTCATACAAACAACCATTCATTTTGGGAAGCCAAGAGTGGTGGTGGTGGAGGTGATAAAATCAACATTGTGGTTCTGAGCATGAATTCGATATTATAAATTCTTTGTTCTTAGTATTAGGGAAGTCTAGAGCGTGTATCTTGCCCTCCCTATTCCAGTGCTGAAGTGTGCTAGCTGAAATGCCGAAAAATTTGGTGCATAAAGTAACATGTAGAAGTCAGTAAGTTTTGCTTATAATATGAAACTTGATGCACATTAAAAAATACTTTATATACTTTGCAGTTAATAAAGAGGCTAAAGAACTTCAAAATGAGATAGTGTTTGTGATGTTTGAGAACAAAGGTTTTAAGCGTTTTAAGAACGAAACGATGTAGGGAGAATCGCGTTCTGATTATCGGCAACACTAGGCAAAAATAATCATGACGTGACCCTCCCAGGGGCTCAAACTGTAAGACGGCAAAGATTAATTGGATAAGGATCAAACGTACCTAGGTTTTCTGTGACAAAAATATAATAATAAAAATCTCGATCATTTGATTCTGTGGATATCGATGATCGCGATAAAATAGATGTGGATTTCACCGAACTAAGCAGCAGAGAGGACATAGCATTCTAAGCTTCCATTATATTAATCTATGCAATCAGTTGGATAGACTTTGTTGACAGTTAATCTTACTGTATAAACTCGAATCAACAAAAGCAACAAATTAGGCATATTTTCTCGAATTTTCTGTCAGCCAACAGTTCACTAAAAGTGTTAACGGCTGCGATAACAATTGAAAGAATAAAAATCTGTTACGTAGCTGACATAATTACGGTTATAATAAACTTTGGCTATAACAAACATTTGTTTATAATGAATATTGTCTCCAAACCAATCACTAAATAATTATAATATTTACTATAAAAAACCTTGGTTATAAGGAATTTTTGGTTATAGAAATAAGTTGTTTTTTTTTCCGCAGAATTCGTTATACCAGTAATTATTTCGCTAATGCGGATCAATACATTGCATGAGATTAGAAACGTGACATTTTAGTGTTACGGATTTAAAGAATTTTTTGCATTATTGTTATAGTCATAACAGAATTATTGAGTAATTATTGTAATTGTTCCCCGTCTGTGACATGCGTTTGGTTAGGATAAAAGAAAATAATAAATTTTTGGGTGTATCAGATCACCACGCATAACTTGATGGGCCATTAAAAATACATCTTGTTCGGATCTAGAGAGAGCTTGAAACGCTTTACGTAACTCGGCAAACTTTTCTCTCGGAATCTTTTTTGAGCAACCACAATAACAATTTATATCCAAGAAACGTATATATTTGATGAGTATTTTCGCTTAATGGTATTTCAATTCAATTGTCTTTGATTGTGAGTTTTGAGATAAACGTGGTCAATAGTAGTAACTCGCAGAAAGTTTCAATAGTGAAAGCGAGCATTTTGAATGATTTTTTGTTTGCTTTTTTTATAGAATAAATTGTTCGATTTCGATGTTGGAAAGATTTTATAATTTGACGAAATATAAGCGCAGGTCGTGTTATTTTTATAAAATACCAATCAGATTGCGTGCACATTAAAAATACAGACAAAACCCTCTAAGTGCACGCCGTGCATTTAGAGTACATTTAGGGAAAATAGTAATTTGTGTAACACCGTAAGAATATTTAATTAAAATATTGATTTATGGTTGTTTGTCTCGTTTCCTTCCATTAACAATTTTCCAAGGCTGTTTAACTGTCTTATCTGCTCACTTGTGTCTTCTTGTTGTAACAAAAACCATCGTACATTTTCTAACTTTTAATGCACTACTGGCGCTTACAATAGGAATCTCAATACTGCCATCCATTTCTTCGGCATTCACCTCATCAATATCTTCTTTAAATGTCTCTGCGATTTCTCTAATAAGTTGGTTATCGCCTCTTCAGGAGTAAACAGAA